TAACACAGTTCCTATCCCCAGGACCATTAACCAGAACTTTTCCATCCTACAGGATGATCCCTCCATTGGGGCCCTCTTTTCTGATCGCCCTATCATCTCATATAGCCGACCACCTAATCTGCGTAACCTCCTTGTTCACAGCTCCCTTGACCGCCCTCAACAACCATCCACACCAGGCACTTTCCCTTGCAACAGAGCTCGCTGTATTACCTGCAAGTACACAGCCACCACCACACTCATTCAAGGCCCCTCAGGACAATTCCGGATCACCCAGACAGCATCTTGTACCTCCAGCAACCTTATTTACTGTATCTCTTGCAGTAAATGCCCAGCCATCTACATTGGAGAAACAGGAAGGAGACTCAGAGACTGCTTCAGAGAACACGTCAGGGCTGTGAAGATTAAAGATCTCTCCAAGCCCATTGTTTCTCATTTCACCTCTGACGGCCACGACCACACTAATCTCTCCATCTGTGTTCTCAAAGACGGTTTTCCGAACTCATACATTAGAAAGACCACGGAAACTAAAATTATTCTGCAGTAAGGATCACACATTCTCCCTTCCCTTAACGACAGATTACTGTTCTTTTCAATTTTCTCCATTCATTGGAAGTTTCATTTCACACCTCTCTGCACCCATTCTGACTTCACACCTCTTTCTGTCCCCTGCCCCCGCCTCTCACTCCTCCTCCCTCCCAACCTTTGTTCTCCCGCTACTTTACCTTTGCCTACTGCCCTGTCTCTCTCACACCTGAAGAAGGCTCCACGGCCGAAACGTAGTGTTCTCTTTCTTCTTTTTTTCAGCATGGAATAAACCTATTACTTATTATTTCCATATACTGTAGGTTATCATCTAGTTTAGTTCTTATATTTATTTCTATTACCTTGCATGTAACAGACATGCAACATACAGTATTGGTCTATAATTACTGTACTTGATTCAGTGTTTTCATCCTTTTTTGAATGGATTCTATTCTTAGCAATTATTCAGTCCCCAGGAACTACCCCTGTCCTAAGTGACTGTTGGAAGTTTTGTGTCAGTTGTTTCTGAGTAACATCTCATTTTCTTCAGTGCAGTTAATAAGATACCATCAGGCATTCTTACTTGTAACCCTTCTCCCTCTTCAATACTGATACTATTTAATACAAAACTTTGTCCTGAGGTATATTGTTAGCTTATACCTTGTTTTTTATCTTTTACCTTATATTATTTTCTAATTGATTTGTTTATCCAATTGGGATTCTGCTTTTTAGCATGTAGCAGCCATGCTTATTAGTAAACTGCTGTGAATTTCAAGTGAATCCTCTCTCTGTGGCCTACAGAATAGACTATTGATCCTTGCATGCTGGAAATGAACCTTTTTGATAAACAGTACCTTTCACTGACACAACCACAGCCCCCTGATGGATGTCTACCCCAGGCATTTGTCTAGTACAGAGGCATAAGGACATCTGAACCATGGTCAGTTACAGGTTGCTGTCAATCATCCAAAATATGACTATTCAAGGACCTATAGGATGTGGAGATCAACTCCACTTGGCGACCTCTTGACCAGTCACCAACTGTATTTTCCTCAGCTCAAAAGCACTGCATGTGCCTCCTTGCTCGTTTCTCTCCACTGAACCAACTTGATCATCTGACAACAACACCATACGACTGCAACTACTGTTGTCTAAAAACTTGTAACTTAAACTTTTACC